GTCAGGTGCTGGTGAGGCGGCCCAGGACAGCCTACTCCAAATGCTGCTCTCTGGCCCGGCTCCCTGCTGCCCTAACTTCATACTCGCTACCCTCAGAGCCACTCACAAGCCCCTTCCACCAAGACCTCACAAAGAGAATGGAACTGAAAAGCTGCAGAATCAGTTCCACCCTACTTATGTAAGGATATGTGCCAAAACCACAGAAATGTTTTTAACAGCACAAACTGTTCTAAAGCCAGACATGGGGCCGGGGATACAGCTCAGCGGCACAGCAACTGCCTTGCAAGCACAAGGTCCTGAGTTCGATTCCCAGTACCAAAAATAAAAATAATAATAATTATTATTATTGTTATTATTATTATAAAGCCAGGCATGGTGGCTCATGTCTGTAATCCTAACACTCCAGAGGTTGAGGCAGGAGGACTGCTACAAGTTCCAGCCAGCCTGAGCTACACAGTGAGTTCAAGGCCATCCTTGAAAAGTGCGACCCAGTCTAAAAAACAAAACAACAAAAAATTGATCTAAACTACTTAAATACTATCCTCGGTCAAAAATTCACTTCGAACTGGCCATTTCAGGTTTCGACAATCTATGTGTACAGGTTAGACCTTTTTCCCCCCACTGGAGATTAAACCCAGGGCCTCACACTAAGCTACATCTCCAGCCCCTTTTTTTTTTTTTTTTTTAAATTCTGAGACAAAGTCTCACTAAATTGCTCAAGTTGGCCTCAAACTTGAGATCCTCCTGCCTCAGCCTCCCAAGTACCTGGGTTTAACAGGTTATGTAACCATGCTTGGCCTCAATACCATTTCTCCCAATTCCAACTAAAAGAGGTACAAAGAGCAAAGCAATGTAATAAAAAAAACCTCAACTGCGATACATCTGTATTTAGGTCTTTGGGTCATAAATAATTTATACTACTGATAATCAAATATAATCACCTGACATAACTATTACCTAGTGCTGCAGATGTATTTTCATACAATTAAAAATGTATTTACTTGCAGGAAACATTGATAGCAAATTACATGGCAAATAAAGTACTGACTATTCACAGATCCCCTCACATAGTAAAAATATTTCGCTGCTCAACTACTGAGTTTTTTCTTTTTTTTTGAGATAGGGTCTTGCTATGTAGCTCAGGACTTAAACTCACTATGTAGTTAAGGCTGGCCTCGAATTCACAGCAATCCTCTGCCTCAGCCTCCTCGGTGCTGGGATTACAGGCGTGCGCCACCATACCCAGCTGAGTTTCTGCTTTTAAATGTCTTTCCTGAGGATATCCACAATGATTTTCTTATCATTGCACAATCCTTTCAGTAAGACACAAGGGTTTGACCTCAGGGTCTTTACTCTTAATCCATGGAGACTACAGAAAAGTCAACACAAATCTAGCAGTAGGAGACCAACTGGTACCTCATGGTGTCTGTGGAGTTGAGCCAGGGCTCAGCTCACATCCTGAGAGACGCGAGGCTAACACACAGCCACCTGGCTATGAGCTCATACCATGGCGACGACCTCACAAACAGGAATTCTGATGGTATTCTGCATCTGGGCTGCAGTGCCACCTCTTTAAAGAGCAAGCACTCGGCTCTGTCAGAGCGCTTGCCTGGCACACAAACCTCAGCACAGGCGACCAACAGAAATGAAAAGTTCTGTATTCCTGGGCCTGGAGCTGATAACTCAGGGAATACATCTTCTGCCATGGCAGAGGCCCACGGCAGAAGCAATGCAGGTGAGCAGAGAAAAGGCACACACACCTAAAAGTCAGCTCAACAGTCATAATGCATGCATGTAAACTTCAAATTTGCAAGCTGTTCCTTTGGTTCCCCTTTACTTTTTCTTTCCTTCCTGGAAAATTAGGCTGTATTGAAGAAATCTAAAAACTGTGTAAGTAAAACCATAAACATAAATGTTTCCCTTGCCTTGCCATTCTAACACACTGCTAGTATCGCCAGTCCCAGTATCTATTAATGTACTATGAAGAGTAAAGATTAAGATGTGTAAGTAAGAAGTTCATATTGAATTCGGATCTGCTGGTGGCAGATATCTGCAGCCCCAACACTCTGGGAGGTTGAGGCAGGAGGACAGCAAATTCAAGCCCAGCCCAGGCAACTGAGTGACATGGTAAGACCCTGTCTCAAAGTTAAAAACTAAAATAAAATAAAAAACTGTGAATATAGCTCAGTGCAAAGGCCCTGGGTTCAATCCCTGGTGCATAGAAAGCAAGAAAAATTTCATACTGAAAATCCCAAAAGCCTAAGGACTCTCCACAGCTCTAGAACAGTGTCTCTCTGCTAAGAACAGGTACGACCGGCTGCTCGTTGCTCTGCCCTCATGAATCCTGGCGCTCAACCAGCACACACTGAAGGCTGGGGAAATTCTGTTATTTCTAAGTGGTTAAAACTCTTCAACAACAGAGGACTAACGAGTTATTGTCACTAGCACCAGGGGATGGGACTACTGGCAATTTTTATGTCTACTTCGTATTTTCTTGGATCTTTCAAATTTTATTTAAAGAATAAGTAAAATTAAGAAATTAATAAGCAGGAGGGGAAAATCTACCGATTCCTGAGCCACAGTGCAATGGCTGTGAGAGAGGAAGGAAGGAGACTGCAGTGCTGCTTTCTACCCAGGACATGACTACAGCGCAACAGAGCGCGGTGACAGTGGGTGCCTCTTCCTTTTCTTCCTGGACTCACACCTGGTCTCCCAGCTTCCCTGGTAGTGCCGCCCGACCACATGACTGCATTTACCCAACACCAGAAGAGAAGCCTGTGCTCAGGATCACCGCTTAGCCTTGGCCTCCTGCATCCCGCAGCTCTATCCTTTCAGAGGCTTGAAGGAGCCTGGAGCCCAGCAGCCCCAAGAGCTCATACTGAGGACAGTGCAATGACAGGATGCAGCCCTAAGTCACCTCTCCCCATCAAAAATATCTACCCTGCACTTTTCCAGAGCTGAAAATAAACTTGTATCAGTTAACGTCACCAAAATTAGTGGCCTATTTGTTATAGAGGCTAGCTTATCTGACATAGCTACAAAGAGGCAAAGAGATAACTTCGCTTAGAGCTTTAGAATCATCTTGGCTAAGTAAACTGCTGAAAGAAATTAATTTTCATGATGAAGCTACTGTGGAAAACAATACAGTGGTGCCTCAAAAATTAAAATTAGAAGGGGCTGGGGATTTAGCTCAGCGGCAAAGCACCTGCCTGGCAAGTGCAAAGTCGTGAGTTCGATTCCTGGTGCCGGAAGAAAAGACAAAAATTAAAAATAGAAGCTGGGTGTGGTGGTACATGCCTATCTGTAATCCCCATCCGTACTTGGGAAGCTGAGGCGGGAGTATCACTGTAAGTTCAAGCCCAGCCTGAAATACAAAGAGAGAGCCTGTCTTTAAAAAAAAAAAATAAAAATAGAATTACTATATGAATCTGGGCATGGTGGCACCCACCTGTCACTCCAGCACTAAGGAGACTGAGGCAGGAGGAGCTCTGTGAATTCAAGGTCAGCCCGGGTGGGATACATAGTGAGTTTGTGCCCAGTGTGACCTACATACCAAGACCCTGTCTCAAAAAAAAAAAAAAATTATTACATGATCCTGCAATTCCCTTTCTGTGCATGTAGCGAAAAGAATTAAAGAACTGGAGGCTGGATCTCCATGTACATCCATATTCATAGAAGTATTTTCACAGTAGCCAAAAGGTAGAAAAAAATCTAAGTGTCCATCAATGCATCAATGGATAAATACAAAAAAAGCTTAAATTTACAGAACCAAGAATTTCCTTAAAACAAGCAGTTCCCAAAAAAGCATGGTATAAATCATGATCAAATAATAATTCAGCCAAACAATAACTGCATTTTTTTTTCACTTTTTGGGTTTTTTAATGATTCCTCAACCTCTCAGAGTGCTGCAAATATAGGCATCCATCACTGCACCCAGCTTATTTTTAATTTCGTTAGTAAGTCACCTAGCCTGAGTTCAAATCTTACTTTATTTCTTAAGGGTTTTTTCCCACCCTCTCTTATTTTTAAAATGTCATGGCTCAAATAAAGTGAAAGCTGAACAGGAAAATTAGACACTAAGATTCTGTCCCAGCTTGATGATCTTGAACAACTGACTTAATCCCATTGGGGGGGGGGGCATGAATCAACTACGATCAGTTTCTAAGTACTGTATCCTTTATCATTCTAACTGTTCAGATTTCAAATCCAAACCCAGTAAGTAAAAAGCAAAGGATTCAAAAGTGAAATGAAAGTGACTTGTGGCTCTAACCTTACCAAAGTAAAAGTACTCCACTGCACTAGGAAGGGACCTGCATTTGATAAAATCAGCTTCTAAAGAGTACAACTCTCCTGGCACTGCACTACCCTGGGCAAGTCACACCTCCACACTTTAGCTGAGGCACCCTGCCCCTGACCTTTGAGAGTCCCCTATGTATAGCCCAGGCTGGCCTTGAACTCACTGCGATCCTCCTGCCTCAGTCTCCCAAGTGCTGGGATCCCAGCAAACCCACTATGTGACACTATGCCCAGCAAATCCAGACCCTTTATAGTTCAGTTCTTGTCAGTAGCATGAAAACAATCCTTTATTTACTAAATCTGGAAATTCTGGTGGGAGGCAAAGAAGAGCGGAAGAATTTGCAATGAATTTAATCTGCCAGGAGAGGGAGTTTAACTCTGAGCTTCCAGGAACTGGCTACAAGCAAGCAGAGCACAGAGGGACTTACCTGGAAACAGTTATCACCTGAAACCTGGGAACACCTTCGCTACTAAAACATGACCCCAACATGAGCTCAGTGACAAAGAAAAGGGGAAGAAGTTTAAGGGTAAAAGAGTCTCGCTTCAGAGAAAGATGCTTCTGATTTCCAAGTCAAGCATGACAGAAAAATTAAAAGGCTGTGCTCTAGTACCATCTTCCCGGGATTGGGAGATTCATTTACAGCTGAATCCTGTCCCCTGAAGTCATGGTTATATAAGTGTTGGTCGCATGCTGTGTCACTTACCGTCCCCACCCTCCACAGAGGACACAGTGTAACTGAGCTACTTGGCCTCAGTCACCAAAAACACTTGCACACTCAGGCAGCCTCCCAAACCGGTAAGCCAGCACAGCACAGCAAGTTATTCACTCCATCTTCTTTCATTCACATTCACATTCCTATAAATACAAAAAGACTGGAAAAGGCAAACCAAGGAAAGCCAAGTGTTTTAATCTCACAGCAGGCCAGCAAAATCCCGTCGAGCTTAGGCCTACTGGGGTTACACACCTCATCCCCATGCATGGAACTCCAGGCCCTTGGGTGGGAAAGACAGTCAGGCCTGTGTCCCACACAGGGTTGATCAAAGGCCCAAGTCCCATTCTCTGCTGCCACATGCAGCAGGTCGCCGCCACACAAGGGCTTCCAGGGACACAAGAAATGACTCTAAGAGAACACAGAGATGAGCCCACCACCACAGTCATTTCTGACTACCCCTTCTGCCTGATTTTGTCTTTTTCCGCACTGCTGGGGCTGCCAGGCAGGCCTCTGCTGCTGAATGCCGAATCTTAAGCTCTCCTGTCTTGTTTGTGAATCACGCTATGATTAAGCTCCTCAGGGTCGGGGTAAAACCTGGTCTTAGCATCTAAAGGACCTACAAGAGTATTTAGTCCAAGCCAGGCATGGTGGCGCACGCCTGTAATCCCAGCACTCGGGAGGCTGAGGCAGGAGGATCAATGTGATTTCGAAACCAACCTAGGCTACAAAGTGAGCTCAAGGCCAGCCTGAACTGCATGGTGAGACCCTGTCTCAAAAAGA